ATGCGGGATCCTCCCGGACCGGGGCACGAACCCACGTCCCCCGCATCGGCAGGCGGACTCCCAACCACTGCGCCACCAGGGAAGCCCCAAATGCACCCATTTTTGAGTGTGCATGTCAGTGACTTTTTTTTTTTTTTTTTTGCGATATGTGGGCCTCTCACTGTCGTGGCCTTTCCCGTTGCCGGACGCGCAAGCTCAGCGGCCATGGCTCACGGGCCCAGCCGCCCCGCGGCATGTGGGATCCTCCCAGACTGGGGCACGAACCCGTATCCCCTGCATCGGCAGGCGGACTCTCAACCACTGCGCCACCAGGGAGGCCCTGTCAGTGACTTTTGACAGACGTCTGCATCCACGGAAACACCACCACAATCAAAATACAGATCACTTCCCTCCTCCTAGAAAGTTTCCTCATGTCCCTTTGTAATGAATGTCCCCCACCCACTCCTCCCTCGGCAAGGACTGATTTTATTTCCTTCTTTTTTAAAATATTTATTTATTTGGCTGCATCGGGTCTTATTTGCGGCTCACGGGCCCTCTAGTTGAGGCATGCGGGCTCAGTAGTTGTGGTGCATGGGCTTAGTTGCTCTGCGGCACGTGGAATCTTCCCGGACCAGGGCTCGAACCCGTGTCGCCTGCGTTGGCAGGCGGATTCTTAATTACTGCGGCACCAGGGAAGTCCCTGATTTGATTTCTATCACTATATATTAGTTCCTCCTGTTCTTGAATTTATAAAAGGGATCATAGAAAGCAACTGTGTCTCCTTACCCTCCGCATAATGTCTGTGAGATTACATCTATCAGCTCATCTACACTGTTGCCTGTGCCAACTCCTTTTTATCGTGTAGGTTGTGTGAGTGTATCATAGCTGCTGTGTCCATTCTCCATTCTCTGTTTCCAGCTTGCCTATAACGAATAATGCTGCGATGATTGTTCAGGTTCACGTGTTTATATGGACTCGTTTTCATTCCTGTTGGGTGAATACCTGGGAGCTGAATTGCTGGGTCATAGGGTAAGTGTATATTACCTTAAAAGAAACTGCCAAACTGTTTTCCAAAGGGTTTGTACCACTTTCTACTCACATCAACAACGAATGAGAGGTCAGTTACCCCACATCCCCTTGCCAATGCTTAGCGCTGCCCGGCTATTTATTTCCAGCCATACTCCCTGTTTGAAGGGCTTTCGCATTCGGATTTTAATTAGCATTTCCCTAGAGACTAATGACATGGAGCATCTTTTCATGTGTTTATTGGCCACTTGTACATTTTCTTTGGTGAACTGTCTATTCAAGTCTTTCGGATTTTTGTTTTTCCCCCCATCTCCCAACCCACAGCCCCTTCCCCTGCCATCTACACCCAAAGTACCCTCTTGTTTTAACTCTGTTCTGAATTAAGTCTGCTTCTCTCCAAGGAGGCTACCAGTCAGCCCCAGCCCATGGGGATTCTTTGCTCCTCTGAGCTCCTCTAATACTTGTCCACCTCTGCTCCTGTTCGACACAGCAGTTTCCTCCTTCCAGCACCACTTAGAGGTCCAGAGGGCAGCCCAGGCCTGGAGAGGGGCTTCCTGGTACCAGGAAGTTCCCCAGTCTATAGAATAAAAGCAGCAGGATTCCGCCCTTATAGAATTACAATGTTGCATGTTAATATCAAATATCCTTTTAAAAATTGTAGGTATCGGGCTTCCCTGGTGGCACAGTGGTTAAGAATCTGCCTGCCAGTGCAGGGAACACGGGTTCTAGCCCTGGTCCAGGAAGATCGCACGTGCCGCGGAGCAACTAAGCCTGTGTGCCACAACTACTGAGCCCACGTGCCACAACTACCGAGGCTGCACACTACAACTACTGAAGCCCGTGGTCCGCAACAAGAGAAGCCAGCACAATGAGAAGCCTGCACACCGCAACGAAGAGTAGCCCATGCTCGCCACAACTAGAGAAAGCCCTCACACAGCAACAAAGACCCAGTGCAGCCAAAAATAAATAAATAAAATTAATTAATTAAAAAAAAATTGTAGGTATCCCCTCCCTGAAAATGCTAGTATGTTTGAGAAGGAAGAATCTCTGATGAAAATAAAAGATGATTGGATTTAGAGGAGACTTGCTGGATATGAGTGCCAGTTTTGCCATTTAATAACTGTGGGGTGACTGTGGGCAGATCCGGGCCCCCATCAATTATATGGGGATGACGTCATCCTCACAGAGTTGCGGGGGGATACACCAAGCCTCATAAGTACCTGGAAGTCAGTGGTAAACTGTACGGAGCCAGACGTGTGTGTGGTGAGAACTGGCCTATTAAATCGTAAACCCTTTTGAATAGCAACCTGGTAAAGAAATCTTGCCCTTTTATAAAAAACTGGAGGGATAAACTCATAAGAAATCGTGAAGGAAAACGCCAAGGAAGACCGAGGAATCAAAGTCTTAAGTGTTCCTGACCCTCCTTCACAGACTTCTCTATCTCTTCCCTCCCGCCACCTTCCCCTCGTCCACCTCCCCTCCCCCTCTTCCCCCTCCCCCTCTCCAAAGGTCTCCTGAGGCCAGTGCTGCTCTTCTCACCATCGCAGACCTCATTTTTAAAGGGACTTCAGTATAAAACCAGGGGGGAAGTTAAACAAAAAAGAAAGAGGAGAAAGGACCCTCAGGAGCCGAGAAGGGTGTTTGCAGAACACAGTGGCTTGTGCTCCTGGGGCCAAGGCCGACCTCCAGCAGCGCTGGGTCGGGGCCTGGGCTGATGGGAAGGGCTAGGACGGGTGCCGTTTGCCTTGGCCTTCAGACCCGGGCACCGCCCCCGAGTGAGCGGCACTGCAGAGGGACCCCACCTGGAATGGTGAGCTCTGAACGTGTTTTCGCTATGGCTATCCCTTCTCACCCCCAAAGCCACTGGGCTGGGAAGCCAACCCTCCACGGATCACCGCTGCTAAAGCCGGATTCAAAGGGGTGCCCCCACTCCCCCACTGGTCTGGGTAGAGTGAGGCCTTGAATCTTCTGTCCCGTGAATTCAAAAATATTTTCGTGCACTGTTTAAGGTACTGAAGATACAGCTTGAGCAAAATCGGCAAAGTGAGGCCTGTCGGCACCAGCGTCCAGTCTGTCGGCGGAAACAGGGAACAAATGTCCGTGTCTTGTGTGGGAGAGTCCGCTAAGTGCTACTGAAAAAAATACTTAAGCTATGGGATAAAAATGGTACCACAAACCTGAGCGGGGTGCGGGGTCCGGGAGAACGCGAGGGAGTTATTTGAGATCAGGCAATCAGGGAAGGCCCTCGGGGGTCTCCCCTGGGGTCTCTGTGCCCCCGCCCCGCCCCCGCCGGGGCCCCTGGACCGCGAGCTGCTTCTGGCTCCGGATGGCCTCCCCACCCCCGCGCATCTGCGCGCTCCTCCTGCGGCGACTCTGGTCCTGCCCTCCGGGAGGGTGGCCCCGGGCCGGGTCGCCGCCGCGCTCGGCAGCAGGAGCCCTGGCGCCCAGCACGCGCCCTTACCGGGGGCGGGGATGCCAGCCGCGCGCGTGACTCCACCCCGGCCCGCCCCGGCTCGCGCTCTGCGCTTAGTCCGCCTGGCGCCGCCGACGCTCCGGGTCTTCCGAGTCCTCCGCGGGCGCCCAGCCCGCCGCACGGAGCCCATGGAACCGGCGCGGGGCGCGCTCCGTGCGAGCGGCGGGGCCGAGGCGCTGCTGGGCGAGCTGGAGGTGCGGGTCCAGGACGTGGTGAGGGTGAGCTCGTGGTGGGAGCGCCACGGCGTGGACTGCGCCATCCTCGCGCTCAGCCTCCTTGCCTTGCCACCCGGTGAGGGACACGGGGCCAGGGCGATCAGGGGCCCGGCTGGGATGGGGGCGGTGGGAGGCGGGGGAGGGAGACGGAGAGGGCTGGGGGGCGGCCGGGTGGGGTAGACGGCGCGTGCCCGGGACCCCAGGACAGAGAGTCAACCCCGAAAGTCTAGTTGGGGTGTCCTGCCTGTGTCCCCAGGGGAGCCCTGATGGCACGAAGGGCAGTGGAGGACAAAGTTGAGCCGAGTCAAGGAGAGGCAGGGAAGAATGAGGTGGCCTGGGGAAGGAGAGGGTGCTCCAAGGGGACACCAGGGATGGGGTGAGGGGAGTGAGAGGGAGGATGGGAGCGTTCCCTGCACTTCTCCTGGCCTGGACCCCCCCCACCATGCCCTCCACACCATCACTCCTCTGGCTGGGGTGCAGAATCAAGACTCCCAGCGGGTCCTTGGTGAGTCAGTGGGGCTGTTTTGTCCGAAATCCGGTAGAGAGAGCCAACCCATGCCCCTCAGGCCATCATGGGACCTGCCTCACCGCTGTCTGTGGCAGTCCTCAGGACTGGACCCGCTTTGGCCTGGGCTCCCAGGGATGCGGGCTGGGTTGTTTGGGCCCAGGTCTCCAAGAACCAGAGAAAGGCCCTGCCCTTACCGCTCCCCCTACACCAACTCTCCCTTCTCCGTGCAGGGTTCCTGTGCCTGCGCTCTGAGAATCTCCTGGTCTTTGCCCTGGGCGTCACCATCCTGGGTGTGTGCCACTACACACTCACTGTCAAGGGCAGCCACCTTGCCACTCATGGTGCCCTCACTGAGTCCAAACGCTGGAGCAAGATCTGGGTGCTTTTCTTTGTGGAGGTGAGCCTGGGACTGGGTGGGAGCAGCTGCTGGTACTGTGTATGAGAATCCAGGTGAGTGCAGCTGTGTGTGCCCTTGAGGGCCGGCAGCTGCAGCTGTGGTCTGTGGGCCCAAGTGTGCAGCCTTCACTACGGTGGGTGTGTGTCTGCGTGTGTGCACGTCCCCAAGCCCTTGAGAGGGTAGAAGGCTGCATGAGGATTGATGAGTATTTAACTGTGGCGGCCGATGTGGTCTGAGCACCCGTTTTCTCCTGGGGGCACCGGCTCGCCTCTCTGCAGCCCTGGGCCAAGGGTGGTAGAGCTTCCTCCTCCCACCAGGATGCCTGTAGTTGGCAGGTCCTGGCTACACCTTCGGGGCCTCCTGGTTTTGCAATCAGGGTTTAGGATGTGAACCACGGACCAAAGGGCAGGGAAGCAAGGGGACTGGTGTCACAGCACCCCAGCTCTGCCATCTCAGGACACCTGACAATGGCCAAGCCATCCCAGAAGCCCCCTGCTTCCCCAGGGCTGTACCAGGAAGGCGCCTCCTCTCTCCTGACGCTTGCCCCCCCCCCCCGCTTCCACCGCCTCCCTATGCTGCCTCAACCTATGGGCACAGTCAGGAAGGCAAAGGTTTCTGGCCAGGTTGCCCTTCTCTCTGGACTGGTGTCAGGCCTTCCAGTTCTTCTGAGAGCCCCTTCCCTCCTTTCCAGGGGGCCTCTCCCGTGGCCACCCAGGTCCCTTATGAACTAATATGAAAGCTGGTACCAGAAACAGCCCTTTTTTGCCAGGAACTGGTTACCATGACCAATTAACTCAATTATTAGCTTTTTTAAAGAGCTTTTATTTATTTATTGGCCGCACCTCGTGGCATGCGGGATCTTAGTTCCCCGACTAGGGATCGAACCCGTGCCCCCTGCAGTGGAAGTGCGGAGTCTTAACCACTAGACCGCCAGGGAAGTCCCTCAGTTATTAACTTTTAATAAAGTTATATAACTTTATAAAACTCTACGTAACTGTACATACACACACACACACACACACACACATACACAAATATGACGTTTTATAAAATTATACTGCATCGGTTGGGTGAGAGGAAGCATTTCCTACCCAGAACTCTCCATTGCCCTCATTTCCCCCAAACCCATCTCTCCCACCTGCACACATTTCTTTTTCTTTTCTTTTCTTTTCTTTTTTTTTTTTTTTTTTTTT